TATTATTTTTAGTAGCATTCAAAAAAAATATAATATTATGAAAAATTAAATTACAAATAGTTTCAGTCAAGAGATGAAAAAAAAATTATTTTAAAATTATATTAGATATTTTAATACGAATAACACTTTAAAAAGAACTCAAACTTTTATATCAAATGAAATGTAAAAATCAGGTCGTCTAAATTTTTAGTCCACGTCAAAGGAGACGGCGTCAATTTCAGATGGCGCTTACCACTTACTACCCTGTCCTTTTCCTAGTTTTATTTATTTATTATTATTATTATTATTATTATTATTATTATTATTATTATTATTATTATTATTATTATTTTAATATCTCCATAGTTTTTCTTCTTTTCAGGCTTACAAGTTACAGCAGCCCTATAACAATCGCTGTCGTCAAAGGTTTGGTGTTAATAAATATTCCAATAATGTTTTTTTTTTCACGAAATATAATGTATTATAATTAATTTTTTTGACCTATACAATATCATAATTAATTAAAAGTATATAAAAATTAACCACACATATAAAATATTCGTATATGCAATATACGTGTTCTGATTAATTCATAACAATAACGTAAGTACACTTATCATTTTTGGTACGTAAACAATAGTTGAATACCAGCCAACTGTTGACTTGCGCATCTATCTCAACTTGAATGTTGTCTAGCTGGTCGTTTCAGCTATTCAAATTCTCCTTGTCCATGGTAACAAGCTTGGGTTTGTTTCTTTCTGCATTTGATATTAATCTCCCATCAAAGTTTTGGATTACTTCAGCCCCACAGCATTTACTTAGGATCCTGCAAGTGACTTCTTCTCTCATTTATTCTTTCAACCTACTCATCTCCACTAGCATTTTTTATATTCTTCCAAAAGGTTGAATCTCCAATTTTAAGTGTCTCATGCTCCCGGTCCGCCAGAACATTTAGAAGGATGTAAATTATGATAACTCAACTGAATACAGAAGCTAGATCTTTGTTTACTGCACACAATGATGAGCCCCACTCACTTTAAGGGGTTACATTGCTCCCACACTACTCATCCCACTAGCATTTTTTATATGGGCTAGGAACTTAATTTGTGGAATGTTCTTACGGCTAATAAATTCCATTTTCTCCAATTAAAACATGGAGCGTTATGCTGTGTAACCGTGTGCACCATGCAAGGTGCACACGAAATTGGATTCATAATTTCTATACTATAGATTTATAATTTATATATTGTAGATTCATAATTTTTGTACTGTATAGTTATCAAATTATGAACATATAGTTCAGTGATTTGTGAATACAGAGTTCAACAATTAGGAATATGAACATTGAAAATTATGAACATAGAGTTTTGTAATTGTGAATATAGAGTTCAATAATTATGAATCTATAGCATAGAAATTATGAATCTATAGTATAGAAATTATGGATCCATAATATAAAAATTATGAATCTATAATATAAAAATTATGGATCCAATTTCGTGTACACCATGCATGGTACACACGGTTGCATATCATAATTTGCCTTAAAACATGTATTGGGCTAAATGTTTTTGATGCTAGCTAGTTGAACTTCCAAAAATCTTGAATTTCATCTCTCTCTCTCTCACATAAATCATTTTTCTTCATTGAAAAATTTATGCAACAATTCGATATAAAAATTATGAAGTGCTCACTTGTTGTATGTTTAAGTTTGCCAAAAGCATTACTTTTTAGTGCTCAAAATAGTGTTGTAATCAATTTTATTTTAGGAGGCTAATACTACAATAACTAACACTCCTAGTAACATTGTGAGGTAGCGAATTGATTTTAAGAAGAATGTGTACGTAGTACGCACGACTAAAAGTGTGTAATACACACGACTTAGATTTTCGCTTCGGCATTATTTTCTCATAAATTAAAATCCCGTTGTTTTTATTTTTATTATGTTTTATCGACTTATTCCACCTACATTATATTAATAATGTATAAGGCTATTTTTTAAATATTTTTCCTTTACTTATGGCATGTTTCATTATGACATTATTGGGAACAAAATAAAATTTATCTGAAAAGAATTAGTCAAAGTGATAAATTTTTAATTTTACAAAATTAGATTTCATATAATGATTTATTCTTATAAATGTAGTACTTACTCCAGACCATCTTTCTAATATTGGTTATTCCCATAAACCCATAGATTAATCCCATTGGATTTTGAAGTCTTAACAACTTGTATTTTTTAAAATAAATAAATTGTAAGCTAAAGTAACACTCCATCGCAGTTGCAAGCTGAGCCCAAAACCCTCCATAGAATATTAGAATGTTTGAAAATTTCATCAACCTAAAATGATTGCGTGATGAGTAAATGTATCCCAATGAAAATAACACTTCATCCACAAATATTATAATAATTAAAGGATTGAGACTTTGATTTGCGATATAATTTGCGAAAGTCATGCTAGGCAAGGAAAAGAGTTATTAGTTGGAATGTTATTTGATCTGATGAGGGGATCAGATTTCATTGAAGAAAAAGTTCTATAAAATCAAGATTTTTTTTTTTAATAAAAAATGTGATGAATTAAACGCTAGAGGTGTTTAAGCACCTTGTATATTTGACCAGATACTATAATACCAATAATTACCAATAAATTATAAATTAAAAAATTAGCCATGATTGTCAAAAATTTATAGCAACCATGAGTCTATGACCTGTCTACGTTTATGATTTTTTTTCTCTCTCTTCCTCTCCTTATTTTTCCATTTCCGTGCCCGCATGACCAATTCAGTTGGTCACATGGCTGAAGTTTGAGAACAATGATTCGGGATTGAGTCTCATCAACGACAGTGTGAGAACAACCTCTCAAAGTGAGTGAGGCTCCTTGTGCACGGTAAACGCAATAAGCAAATTCTAGCCGGCCTATGTGTTCAGCTGAGGTGTCATGATTTATATTCTTCTATATGCTCTGTCGACCGGGATATGGAGTGCCCTTAGGGTTGGAGATTCAACATTGGGAACAACAATCTTTCTATTTTCATTATATAAAAAGTATTTTTTAAAAAAATCAAATTTCAAATTGACCACGAAACATTTTTGACAACTAAATAAAGTGGATGGAAATTAGATATTTTGCAAAGGTTATGTAATTTTCCTACCACCACAAGTGATAGTTTGAAAAGTCTAAAAAAGAATCTTAAATTTCAATTTACTTTTTTAATGGACAGAAAAAAGTGAAACAAAAATAAGAGAGTTTTAACTATGTCAGTACAATGTGTATATTGAATGAAGGTAAAATGGCACTTTTTCCCCCTATGTTATATACTTATAGCACTTTTTCTCCCTCAATTATTTAAGTGGCTCTTTTTTCCCCTGAAATGTTAAATGGACATATTTACCCTTAAAATAAATATTTCATTTATTTTTATTCTCCAATAAATTATTACTATAATTTGGTTCAAACCAGATACTATAGTAACCAAACCAAAATATTCCAATTACAATTTATAATCAAAACGCGATATTTAGAGTTTATTAAAATCACGAACTGGAATGGGCGGTTCATGTTCCAAACTGAAAAAATAAAATACATTTATTGTTGAATTTAAACTATTTTAAAATAAAAAATAAAATTTTAAAATAAAGACGGTTCAAAATCGCGAACGGGATTCGGAACCGTCGATTCATGATCCAGTTTTTTTTTTTTTATTCTTAAATTTAATAAATTGAAATCCAAATATTGGGTTCTAGATCTGAATCATAACTGAAAACTTTTAATTCGATTGCTATAGTGTCTGGTTCAGTTCGAACCGAACCGTGGTAATCGCTACATATACGCAATAATTTGTTGGAGAAGTAAAATAAATAAAATGTTTACTTTAAGGGTAGAAATGTCAATTTAATATATTAGGGGAGAAAACCACAACTTTTAAAATAATTGAGGGGGCTAATGTGCTTACATAAATAATTGAGGGGGAAAAAGTGCTATAAGTATATAACATAGGGGGAAAAAGTGTCATTTCCCCTTGAATGAATATATAAAGTTTTATTAATTGCAACCAACCGTTCCAAAAATTGCCAACAACCACTAGTTGACTTGGTTGACTCAACTGTCTAAATTTTCTAGCAATTTTTTTGGTTACCACTCCATACTAATGGTTCGAAATAGCCAGTTAGATTTTTTTTTTTAATATTCAAATTGATTAAAAAAATTAGTTGAAAATCCGATTTTTGAATACAAATATAATTTTATGTTTTTATCACTTTCTAGCGATAAAAAATACGGAGTATAAATTAAAGTTTCCAGTTATGTCTATACACCATATATATATATGTGTGTGTAGAGATTAAAACAAAAATTACTTTTGAATATGCTTTTGTTGAATAATAAAACTTTCAATGTCAATGGACCAGTGAGAGTGAGACTACCAGTTCCCAAGTCCATGGTCCATATGGTCTGCTGGTTTGCAAATTCCAATAGTCATTATATAAAAGTTAATATTCAAAATAATCATCCACATTAGTAATTATTTTTGATTTAGTTCTTAACAAATAATTTAGTATAATTGAACCCTCAACTTTACTTAATTTGCTTAATGTCATCCTAGGTGTTGAAAGAATCCATCCATTAGCTAGAGGATAACATTGAGCAAAATCAATAAAGCCGAAAATTTCAATTATGTCAAATTATTTGTTAAGAATTAAATTGAAAAAAATTCACCTAATTTAATGACTATTTTAAGAATTAAGGAAATTGGCGTAACGTGGAGCCAAGTACCTAATCATGAGGCCATATATAAGTCGCACTATTCATTCTTTTACCTCTCCTCGTATCGGTGTCATTTGATGAATACGAGATTATATTGAATTTCTGAAATTTCAAGAACTTCATATAATATAAAATTATAAATATGCAATTCAACTATCAACTTAGATTTTTAATACCAATTGGCTTGTGGTCTATTGGTATTGGATTGCTCCCCTATGTGGGAGGTTAAGTTTCGAGATGGGTACCTCCCTTCCTTTATAATAAAAAAAAACTTAGACTTTTAATTCTGATGGAACACATAGTTTAGTCCCCATGGCTGGATTCATCTTCTTCCGTCTTCAAAATTTGCAGCAAGAGTTCATTCCAAGTGTCGACAGGGCCAGGCAGGCACCAGTGTACACAGTCGGCTACTGTAACATTCTCGTACGCCCAGTGACCATAATGGTTAGGATGTCCATCCGGCCGTAGGATCATGGCTTCTGTCGTATCCAACAACCTTAATTTCATCGTCCCTCTCCTTTGCGCTGCCCTGAACTCCTGCATTTGACTCAAGTACATCTCCCAGACGTACCCTTCCACCTTCACCTCTGATTTCTCAAATGGTTTTGTTCTCACGCAGTTCCCTCCCTTATCCCAATCCCCGTTCTCAAAGTGCGCCGGCGAGAATGTCCTCAGAATCACCAGTCCCCGGCGGCGGGGTTTCGCAAGGGTCCTAAACGCTGTCCGGAAAGCCATCCTGTATCCGTAGTAATTGGTGAGTTTTGTGATGTTGGTTTGGGTGCATTTGTGGCATCCGATGACCCGGCCGTGTTTGTGGTAGAGGAATGGGCGGAAGAACCATTGGCCGGCGGAGATGATGACGATGTCGGCTTCTTGAACTTGATCTGCCCAGGCGCTGTCGGGCTCGTCTAGGTAAAGGCTCATGAGGCTGTTAGCTGAGGTGCCGTTGGGGTCAACGTCGCGGGATTTTACCAACTGCGGCGACCACAGTGCTTGGATTGTGAAATTGTAGTCCTCGTACAGCCAACGTCTGAACTTGGTGTTGGCAACGTAGGAAACATCTACTGGATCTGCAACCTGCACATTTTTTTACTAAATTAAAGTGTCGGAATCTTACCACTACACAAAAAATTATTCCTATTTCTATCACATTTTTCAATACAAGATGCTAGACTTGACCTAAGTCTGGACGCAATAATTTTCTTAGCTAGCCACTTGGTATTAGACTTGGTGTTCATTGGCACCTGCCTAACAATTCGCCCTAACTCGTAGCGAAGGAGTTAGGGGACTTGCCCTAGCCAGCACCAGGCCGGCTGGACTTGCCTATTTAGGTCCTCCGCCCAACAATTTCGCTTGACCTTCACTGGGATCGATCAGCCTAACAATTCGCCCTAACTCGTAGCAAACAAGTTATGGGACTTGCCCTAGCCACATGGTATTGGACTTTCCCTTCCAGATCCTCCGCTAAACAATCCCCTAGTCACTTGGTGGTGCTAGATTTGGCGGCATCCACCCAACAATTCGCCCTAACTCTTAGCGAAGGAGCTAGGGGATTTGCCCTTTCAAACCCTCCGCCTAACAATCCCCTCTAGTTACGGTGCTGGATTTGACCTTTTACCGGCATCCACCCAACAATTCTCCTAGAATTTTATTTACTTCTACTGTCACATTTTTAGAGGCATGGTGTCGGATTTGGCCCTATAGGCCTCCTCCCAACAATCTTCTAATCACCTGGTGCTAAATTTGACCCTTCACAAGCCTCCAACCAATATCAAGAACAATATAATTATAGTAACATTTAGTACATATATATATATGAAGTGTGAAGTTGGAATTAGAGTGGGTAGGTGATTGCTTACGCTAGCCAAGAGGCACACCAGCGACTGCATTTGGTTTCTTGCAAGAGAGTCCCCAAGGAAAGCCAAAGTTTTACCTCTGACAAGTTCCAAGAACCGCCCCGCATCAAACATGGGCAGATCACATTCCTCTGGTTGCCACCTCCATTTCATGAACTCACTGTCTGGTCGTCCAAACTTGATGCAGTTCTGTCTGTCCTCAATCACACATTTGGTTTTGTTTGTATAATACGGACCGTCGGGATATGGAACCCAGTTCCCCTTGAATATATCACACCTTCGCTCTATACCCATGCTTGTTGAAGCATTATTGGAGCTAGTTGTGAAAGATTGCAGCAGGGAATCATGAGAGCTAGAAGAATATGAAGAGACACAGAATATTGCAATGAGAATAACAGTGGTCGTCAAGATTATTGGTAGGATAATATTTCTAATGGTTTCGAAAGCTCTGATCTTCCCATTGGGAACCTCTGCTGCTCCACTGGCCTTCATGTGTTTGCTTATGATTTCATTTCATACAAAATATGTTGTTTTTATATGATAGGAAAAGGTAATGAAAGGGGCCAAAAACATTATCTCAGGAATCAGGAGAGATTAAGGCAAAGGAAGGAATTGTTATTTGATAAAGTTAGGTTTATTAAGATTAGTTGATTGGAGAATGATTATTATGGGGCGACCCCGATCCAGGCTCATAACTTGCACAAGGCAAAAGGAAATTGGCAATGGCGTAGCTTTGGCGGCAAGTGGCTTATGATGAGCTCTTGCAAATGCTCTCTCTTTTCCTTTCATCATAATACATCAACCTCAACATGTTGCCTTGCCACCCCTTCCCTCCCCACCTCCCCCTCAGATTTGAACTTTAGGCTGTTTGAAAGTTTTGGCATAACTTAGGGCAACATTCGTGTACATAGGTTGAGGGCGCACACAAGTCGAACTATTTCAAAATTTGATTTGCACCCTCATCCGCACGAGAGAGTCTACTAGCAACACATTTCTAATTCCTTTAGAAAATATGGTGTCTATATACTAATGTAAAATCATTTATTTTTCGATGTAAGACAAATGTCATTAAATATTTCCCACTTTATTTTTCCTCAACTTCATATGTATATTTTGAGAATCAATTTTTCATTTAGGGTTTGTTTGGAAACTCGGAAATCCGAGTTTCTGGTGTTTGGCTAGGCTGGAAAATTAGAGGTTAAAGGAAAATAAGCTCGATCTGGTCAATGGAAAATGAGTCATTCTTCTGGAAACTGACTTTCCCTTTTTTTTTTTTTTTTGAGTGTACAATATATTAAGTTTTTTTTGTTTCACTCAGAAAAACCTAAATCCACTTTGATGCAACAAAAAAATTGAAAATAGACCCATATATATTTGTACTCCAAAATGACCTTTCAAAATGCCAATTTTGTTAATATATTTAAAAGTATTTAAGTGAAGAATTCAGAGAATTCTATATTGATTGTAACCGAATTTCAAGTTGAATATATATATATATATATATATATATATATATATATATATATATATATATATATATATAGGGTGAGGTTCAAGTGAGGCTAGGGTATATATATATATATATATATATATATATATATATATATATATATATATGAATTTTAAAATTTTGTTTACAAGTATTACTCCCACCACTTTCTAGAAGTTCGTATCCCTATTAGTGATTTTTCTTTCATTCAATCATCACTTGTTTAACAGCTTAAACTAGGCTCTACTTTAGAGACAGATTTGTTTTTTGTCTTAATCAAAATAGGTCAAGGGCGCATTAAAACGATCGGTAACTACTTAGTCTCATTTGAGAGTGCAATCTCCTTACCGCTTTTGGAAAAAAAGTAGGAAGGGTCGATTTATGCTCTTTCCCTTTCACTGTGTAGTCACGCTAGCAGGTATTACAAGCCCTATTTCCCACGCATCTAACCAGCTTGCGCGGTTAATTACCAGTTCCCCTGAAATCTCTCATTTGTTGAAGCAGAGCATAGTGCGCTTTAGGGGCGCTGAGCGAGAAACGTTTCTTCTTTCGTTTCAGTTTATTCACTGATATGAAACTTAGTACTTGTTCATTATGTAAGCCCCAAATTGCCCATCAATTCTGAAAATAACACATGGGGTTACAAAGTTAATTCTCAAATAAAATAGAATTAATTTTTAAACTGATGATCAGAATTAACACATTTCCACAATGTTACATCCCAAGACATGCCAACTAGAAAGTGGCACTGAGAAGTACCAAGCTACAATGTCACTTAGAGCATTCACGCTTGTAGATATTATTGAGTCTTGCAGACAAATAAATCAAAGATGAGTTTTTAACAAGTGTGGGAAAGAATTTATAGAGGAGTTAATACATGTTGCATCTGCCTCTTGTTTGTTGCTCTTTTCATGTATTTAAATAGGTATTCTGAAGCAAATTAAAAGGTGTATGTATTATCTATGCTATTTACACGTGATGATGAATGACTGAATGAGTGGCAAATTGTACATTTTTTTTACTTTCTTTTATTAAAAAGTATTTAATTTTGAAGATAGTAAAGCCAAATAACTTTTCCTTATGTACATTTTTCAATATGCTTGAGCAATTGAAGAGCTAGTGTTGTTGTTTTCCTGTGCAGGGAACTTTGTTTGAACGTTAATGAATTGAAAGCTATGAACTAGGATCTTCGTCAGTGGTGTCCTCTAATTTTTTTTTTTTTTTTTGTTCCTTTGTTTTTATAGTTGTAGTTGAAGAGCTATTTGTCTATTCTCGGTGGTCCATTTGTATTTTCTACTGCTAAATTAACTATTTGAAGATTAGTTTGGCTCATTTTGTATTTTTTTTTTTTTTTTGGTAACATAGCCCTGGTATTTCACAGTTCTTGGTATTCACAAGACTTGATCGCAAGATTTTTTTTTTTTTTTAGTACTGTTGACCCTGTTAAAGGTAGTATCTCTTCATATATATACTTTCTCAACCTACTGAAGCGCGTCTAATGAGTCAATACCACGTTCACTGAGGCACGTACCCATGACCTCCCACTTGGGAGAGTCACTTCATGATGCTTGACCACAATGCCTCATCAAATCCTCTCTTATTTTATCAATGCTCTGATACCATATGATAGTATCAGAGTCTGTCTTATTTTATCAATGCTCTGATACCATATGATAGTATCAGAGTCTATCTTATTTTATCAATGCTCTGATACCATATTATAAACAAACTCTAATAGCATCAGTAGCGATCTTCTTGTCCGTCATTCGTGACCTTTAAGGAATTGAAGATGTCATAATAAAAAGAAAAAAAAATCAACATAAAATGAATGAAATTAATAAGACAAGTTCACATTATATACTTGTAACCAAAGCCGTTGCAAATAAAAACAAAAAAGGGTTAATAGTGTTGTTGTACGTCTATTTTTGCTCATAGAAGTTCAGAAGCATTTTTTCCCAAAAGAAGGCAGCATGTATGCCCCATGGCCTGCCCATCCAGTTCTTTTTTCATTCTGATATGAAGACTCACCTCGATTGAGACAGCTGGGTGGAGCGATGACGATGTTCTTCACGAAGCTTATATCCATCGACCCCTAGGGTTTGTTCTCCTGTTACCCTAGCTAGAAGCTTATATTCATCGAATCCTACGAATGACGGAATGAGTGATATTCCTTCAACTGCGTTGCATAATATCAATCCTAGCTTTTGATCCCATCCAGGTCCTATTGGCAATAGGAACTCAAGTTGTGCTCGTTTAGTCTTGTTAATAGTATGAGCCATGTTGCGTGCTGTAAAGTGATTCAAAAAGATTACTCTTTTTTTTATTTTCAAATTATCATCGATTATGTGCTGAAAACGTACAATTAATTTTCTTACATAGAAATAATGGTTTAATTAGTTGATATGATCGAGTTTGATCTCATGTTGGAGACATGAACTTATATAATACATGAAATATAATCGAGGCTATCATTGCCTTTGCTGCTATTTGAATCCTTCGTGTTTAATTTGCCAGTAGTTCTTGTCACTGCACTTATCTTTTCTTGATTGGCTTTTTTAGGAAAGTATAAATCATACCCATGTAATGTATAGTGTAATATTAGTGCAGTAATATTTCCCACTTTTTTCTCTTTCAAAATGCTAGCTTACTATGCCCAATTTTTTTTATTGCATTCTAGGCAAAATTAAAGGCTATTGCAAATTTACTATACTTCAATTTAAAATTGTAAATGTAAGTATATATACATTTTGCTTAGTTCATAAGTGGGGGGTAGATTGGGATTTCAAGAAGGAAGAGGAGGAAAAAAAAAAAGTGAGAAAGGAAAGAGAAAAGGGGAGAAGAAGCAAAGTGACAAGGATGCATGCATGGGATCTCAAAATATACAGGGTCGTTTACCAATTTAAAAAAATAGAGAAATTGAGAAGTAGAAAAAATAAAAAAATAGAAAAATTGTTTACTAAAATTCTCTCTCCAATTGATTAACTCATCTTCATTTTCTAACCTTATGTATGTTTTTGGAGAAAAAAGATTTAGACTTCTCCAAATGGAGGAGTGGAAAAGAACACGAGTGAATAGTGCTTAGTATGGAGAGGTTAACAATTTGATTTTAGCGTTGCACATTTGTCCTGTTTGTTTTCTTTTTCTTTCTTCTTAACGATATATGTAATGAAAATTAAGAAATTGAAGAAATGGAAAATTGGAGAAATGGAGAAGGAAAACTGAAAAAATGGAGAAATAGAAAAACAGATAAATGAAGTAAAAACTAGGGGTGGGCGTTTTGGGTTTCGGTTCAGTTTTTTTCGGTTTCGGTTTTTCAGTTTTAAAAAAGTTAAACCATTCGATTTAACATTAAGGTTCGGTTCGGTTTCGGTTCGGTGTTCGGTTCGGTTTAAGCTCCCCAAATTTTAACATTTTCTAATTTTTTCGAACATACTACCAAACAATACATATTCACATAATCCAAATTCAAACTCTAAACATTATATAACAAAATAGCAATCCAAAGTCCAAACACAATACTAAGTACTAATTACCAAACATCAGTTAACGTTTTTGCACAACCGACTCTTCAGTTGGTTAAGTTGGAATATTTTTATTGATAAGATAAATAATCATCTATCTGTATAGTTGATATTAAAAGAACTAGTGTCAATTACTATATAGTTAATTTTTGGACACAATCTATCATTGCTAGTGCACTCGAAATATATTCCAATACTAGAAAATAATTATAGTGCACTGGAAATCAAAATTAGAATGACTGTAAAGCACATTAAATATATAGGAAAACATGAAACTAAGGAAAATACTGAATATTGTAAATATAACTCAAGTTAGATATAATTGTGAGGTAAAGAACAATTGCGACAAACAACAAAAGTGCAATTTAGAAAACAAGCTATAAAGAAATCAAATAAAAAATGTAAGGTTCGGTACCAGTAAGAATGAGAACTGAACAGCGGAGCAGGCATCGAGGAACTTGGATTTACTTCTTTATTATTATTATTATTATTATTAATTTTATTATTATTATTATTATTATTATTATTATTATTATTATTATTTATTAAAAAAATTATATAACATCCGGTTCGGTTCGATTTTTGCCAAACCGTTCGGTTTCGGTTCGGTTCGGTACTAAACCGTTCGGGTTACAAAATCTCGAACCGTTCGATTTTCTATTACTAGTTCGGTTCGGATCGGTTCGGATAAACCGAACCGAAGTACCCACCCCTAGTAAAAACCCCTATTTCTCTTACAAGTTCAAGTTAATGGTGGGACCACCATGTGAGAGAAAACCCTTTTTCTCATTTTCTTTTTCCTTTTTTTCTTTCTCCTACTTTAGTTGCTAAACTTTAACCCCCCTCCCCGCTCCCTTTTTTTTTTTTTTTTTTTTTTTTTTTTCATTTTTCATTTTTCTTTCTTCTCTTTGTTTATTCTCTTTCCTTGTAAGCTCATTAATTTTTTTTTTCTTTCATTTTTCATTTTTCTTTCTTCTCTTTGTTTATTCTCTTTCCTTGTAAGTTCATTAAAAACCGTGAATGATCCCTTACTGATATTGATGCTCTTAGAAATACAAAATCGCAAGGTGCGTCTTGAGAAGTGCACTTCTCAATATGAACCAAAAGATGACTTTTCGAGTACTCTTTGGTATCAACCGAGATTTCACTTTCTAGAATGTGAACCCAAAAAAAAAACTTGAAAAATTACTTCACTTCTCTATTTTAGTTGAGAAAATGTTTAAAATTTTGATATAACTTAAAGTGACATTCATGTACATAAGTCTTGGGTGCCCACGAGTCAAACTATTTCAAAATTTGATTTGCATCATCCTCCACGCGTAAGAGAACCTACTAACAACAAATTTCTAATTCCCTTTAAAATGTGGTTCTTATATACTAGTGCATAATCCTTTATTTTTCCATGTGTAGGACAAATGTCACTTACAGCACGATTGGTTCACGGAATGAATTTGGAGGGAATAGGAATGCTATTCCACATGGAATAGAATAGGTAAGGAATAGAATATGAATTGTATTCTGTTGTTTGGTTGGCTGAAGGAATAGACTTTAGTAATTGTATTCCAGTGTTTGGTTGATTAAAGGAATAGAAATGGAATAGGTTTTAAAGACATAAATACCCTTATACATAATAATAATAATAATAATAATAATGAATATGATTATGATATACAGAATGTTATATATATATATATATATATATATATATATATATATATATATATATATATATATATATATATATATTTATATTTGTATTTATATACATGTATATGCATGTGTGTGTGTGAGAGAGAGAATAATAATAATAGTAATAATAATAATAATAATAATAATAATAATAATAATAATTATTATTATTATTATTATTATTATTATACAAATACATATTTATTTTTATATTTATTTTCTCACTTATCCCACATCGGTTGGAGAAGTAAGGAATGGAGCCTAAAGGAGCCTCAAGGCTCCATAATTTTAATTGCAATGCTCATTCGCTAGGCAAGCTTGCAATGCCCATCCGCTAGGCATGCAAATGAGCAGACTACTTAATTTAGGAGCCAAGACTCTATAATTAAGGAGTCTTATACAGTTAATTTTTTTTATTTACATATATATATATATATATATATATATATATATATATATATATATATATATATATATATATAATAAACTGTCAAGGTCGGTGTTTTGAGAAAATACTTTTCTTTTCTCAAAATGCCAATTGCAAACGCTACAAAATATGTGTGTGTGTGTGTATATATATATATATATATATATATATATATATATATATATATATATATATATATATATATATATATATATATATATATATATATACACATTAAAATATACATTTATGTAATACACTATATTTATTAAATAAATATATATATTATATAATGTGCAAAGGGTATTTTTGGTATTTGTGATATAAAATCTATTCTTACGGGCATGGGAATAGCTAATACCAAGGCCCCCCTAGGAATGGCTATTCCCCTTGCGAAGGTAATAGCTCATTCCTAGGCATGCTATTCCCATGACAAAATGATCCAACCAAACGATGGAATAGATCTATTCCAAGGAATGTTATTCCATTCTTGACCTATTCCATGAACCAAACATGCCATTAAAATTTTCTCATTCCATTTTTCCCAACTTCATAAATATACTTTGAAAATTAATTTTTTTATTCACTCATTATCTATTTTGAGTATTTTTCGTCTTCCTCTTGTTGAACGTGCATGGTTTTCTTCCATCGGCATGCAGTTCCAACTTAAAAAAAAAAAAAAGAAAAAACTGAATCTACTTTAATACAACCAAAATTGGAAATGAACCCTATTAATATTTAGAAGATTGTAACCGAATTTCAAGTTGAATATATGAATTTAAAAATGTGTTTACAAGCACTACTCCCACCACTTTCTAGAAGGCCGTATGAATAAAATGCAATTGAAATTTGAAACAACTGCTTTTTGAAAACAAGTATGAATGAATTGCAATTGGAACAATTTGAACAGTTCATAACTCCATAGCTCCAACTTTCCCTTTCAATACCCAATAATGAAAGCAAGAATACAACTATACTCACATATTGTTACACTTCAACCCAATCTATTTGGGTTGATTTTTGCACGTATTTTATCAGTCTATTCAACTCTGATAATCAAATAACAACAAGAATGTGGGAGGAAAAAAAAGAATTAAAATTTGAACTGAAAGATATATAAATATTCACCTTAGCTATTACCTTCAAGCTCCCTCTTCACCAACTCCATGAAGAAGTCACTCCAGGTATCAATAGGCCCCGGCAAACACCAGTGCACACAATCGTTAAACATGGTCACATTCAGGTTCTGCAAATGCCCGTATTTATTAGGATGCCCATCGGGTCTCAACAGCATTGCCTGCGTAACGTCAAACAATCTAAATTTCGAACCCTTTTTCTTCCCTTCTTCCTCAGCAATGCTAAACTCTTGCCTTTGAATATCATACATGTCTATCTGGAATTCCTTCAAAATCGTGTCGTTCCTCCGAAATGGCTCTGTTCTCACGCACTCTCCACCTTGATCGAATGCCCCATGTTCAAAGTGCTGAGGGGCAAACGCCCTCAAGAAAGCGACGCCCTTAAAATTTTCCAAGCTATTAATTGCTCGAAAAGCTGTCTTCAAAGCCCATCTGTAGCTGAAGTCTTTTGTCAAGTGGGTAACGTTGGGTTCTGAGCAGTAGAGGCAGCCAACGAGTTTGCCTTCTAGATAAAAGTCGGTAGGGCGGAAAAACCAGTGGCCAGCATTAATGATAACAAAGTCAAAAGCCCCGATCTTGGTTGTCCAAGATTCATCAAATTCATCTAGATATAGATTGAAAGGGTTTCTGTTAAGCTCAGAATAAGTGACGCCAGTCTTGACCAAATATGGCGCCCAATACATGGAAATGTTGAAGTTGTAATCTTTGTATACAAGACGCTTCCTGTTATCATCTGTCGTGTTTGAAATATCCAAGGGATATGCAACCTGGAAAAAACAAAAAATTGCAGAAACGGTTCATATATGTCTATGATCTGTGGTTTTGAGCCATTCAAACAAAGGGAAAATCCAGATTTCAGTACCAACAGCAATTGCTAGCATGTTCCTTTCAACATTTCAATAATTGGAAAATTTTGGATAATACAAATGAATCTTGTCTCTAGACAATGTTTCAAAATTTTGGCAACACTACAACACATTCAAAATGATTAAATTTGCCATTTTTTTGAGTGACGAGGGAAACCCGCAACCACTATCCAAGGGTGTGCACGCCGGCAAATAACCACAAGGAGGTAAACCAGCTTAGGTTACCCATAGCTGACTGACTCAAACTAAGAAGGCCAATAGGCCGCTCCCACTGGGAGTCGAACTTGTAAGTTGTAACCGTGTGGTTAAATTTGCCATTTTGATACCTATGTAAATAAAATAAAAAAAAAAGGGCTGAAAACAATCACAAAGATATAGCATGACAATAATCTCAATTAAGGGTCCGTTTGAAAAGCAGGAAAATGTTTTCTTGAAAATGAGTCATTTTCCTGTGTTTGGCTGCACAACGGAAAACTGTCTTTTTGTGTTTGGTTCATTTTCCAAAAAAATGAACAGAATTGTATACTTCAACATTTTTCCGTTGCTCAACCAGTTACGAGCCTCTGATGGAGGCGGAGCATTTTCCTGATGTTGGTAGAGTTTTCTGATGGAGGCGGAGCATCTGAAGAGAGAAGCAAAGAATGTAAAAAGGGAAGTCATTTTACGGAAGAATGGAGTTATTTTCCATTGACCATAAGTGATTTTCCTTTGACTTGTCTTTTTCTTGCCTAGCCAAACACCAAAAACCCGGAAAATGTTTTCCAGAAAGGTAACCTTAACAATCATCAGCCATCAAAGGTAACCTTAACAAAGTAAACATAAAAACCAATTGTTGGACCAAGAAAGCCTGTGTAAAATGTAGCTTACAGTGTATACCTCATTAGGCAAGAAAACTAATATTCGAAATTTGAACTTCACATCAAACTAGATGGAACCTCTGTTATTAGAAAGATTATTACTAGACAAGGGCATCTTATTCTGTTTCTATTTCTACAATCATGAATCATCCATCCAGTTTACAGCTACACATGTTGTCCCCTCAGTTCACAGCTAAATACAGGCTGTCATTTTCTCTTTGCCAAGAAATGAACTAATAAAAAGACCATACTTGTAATAAGTATAAAGATTCATAAATCATAACATTACCAAAAACTGAAATTTTTCTAAATCTCCACAAAGTTAACATAATTGGCAAATGTTAGTGCAGGTAGATACACTATTCAATAAGGTTTAATTACTATCAATAGTACATAATTGTCCTATTAAGTTAGTGTCGGTGGTAAATAAGGTTTATAAATTATAATCTTTGCCCCTTCCCTACAAAAGGCGAAATTCTCTCGCCCCACAATCCCAACAGATAGTAGAAGGATAAATCACGGTGACTCAATCAGCCGCCAATTAGGTGGGCCCGAGTATTCAGAAGGATAAATCACGGTGACTCAACCGCCAATTAGGAGTCCACCACATTGGGTTTAATCAACAAAATCTTTGATTAAGGAAAAACAATTTAACACAGATCACATTCATTTAGGGCTCTAAAAATACCTGAAATTTCAATTGGAAGAATTCAAAGCTAATTTAATTTACCCTGGATAAGAGGCAAACGAGTGACTGCATATGATTCCTTGCAATGGAGTCTCCAACAAAGGCTAAAGATTTGCCTCTAACAAGCTCCAAGAATTCGCGAGGATCGAAAACGGGAAGCTCACACCCATCCGGCTTCCACTTCCATTTCAAATACCCATTATCAGGCCTGCCGAATTTCATGCAATTCTGATGCTCTTGGATACTATAACAAGTGTTATTCGTATAGTACGGCGCTTCCGGATTCGGAACCCATTCTCCGGTGAAGATATCGCACTTCTTCTCGAGCCTCTCAGAACCCGTGTTCTTCGCTTGAAGTTCAACGCCGCTTTCTACACTACTAGACTCTTTTCGCAGATCTTCTGGAGGGGAAAGAGAAAGATTAGCACTTACGTTTCCTGATACCTGATTTGGGGGATAATGTTCAACAATGCTTTCTGCAGCAAACCCTTTCGGCTGATCTACTGGAGTGTAAACCCTAGAACTTTTATCTTTTTCCGGGTGATCAGTGCAACGGAAAGGGTAGTAGAGAGGGAAGACGGTGAGAAAGATTAAGACTAGGGCTAGCAGTGGGATTAACTTGGGAGTGTTCAAGAACGTCGGCTTTTTTACGGAGGGAAACTCCATGGACGATAGATCGGACATGGGAGCTTGCTTCAATGGAGTAGAAGACGAGGAGGGTTTGGTTACAGCAAGGTGGGGGGTGGGTGGGGCTCCTCACTAGTCATTTTCTCATTATAGAAATCTTTGGGAAATCTGAATCTGATAGGAAAGTCACGTACTTGCTGAACTCAACGTGAAACTTCGTTCAACGAATGAATCATATAAAGATAATAGAAAATTTTCACCCCTAAATTTGGCTGGAATTTAGCTAGATGTAGAAAATTTTTAGGGAAAACGATATTTTTGTTCTTACCGGTTTAATCAAATTGATAGAGTTAATTCCATTTTCTGTCTTATAAATGACATTTTATTTTTAACATTTTTTATTAAAACATTCTCGTTTAGTCTTTTATCAACAAAATTGTTGAAATATCTTTAAATATAAAGACAATTTGATCTTTTATATACAAAGTATGTTGATCCAATATATTTTTTATGTTTATTTTAATTCATAATTGATGATCTAAATGTTTTTGTATTTAATGATATTTCAACGATTTTATTAATAAATGACCAAAATGATCATGTCACAATAATACTAGGACCAAAAGTGAATGCTCTGATTAAAAAAAGACTTAAAAGTGGACCGTTACCTATAAATTTAGGATAAAAAATAGAATTAACTCATGTCATAAACTTAAATAAGAGCAATACTACAAACTCATCCTCTATTTAAAAAAAAAAATTATTTAAAATTATTTTTAATTAGTTGTGGGATCAACCAATTCCAGATAATATTACGGATAATATTAGTTGTAGTCTCCATATATATTTAACACAGATAATATTACGGATCATATGCGTAGGAAGTCTTTAGGTAAAAAAATTAAGTTAAATCTCAACAATAGATCTAGTCCAAAATGAAGAAATTTAAAAAAAAAAAAAAAAACGTGGTGGCATTGTTGTAATTTTGAGTAAGTCCAGATGTTCTTTTTCTTCGAATGCATATTTTTCTTCTTTAAGTGCACATTTTTCTTCTTCGAGTTTATATGTTTTGTCTCAGTACTTAATTTTCTCTTTGAGTGCAAAACTTTGCCTTCAAGTGCACATTTATGGACCAATGTTTATTATATATTTTACACTTTTACATTATTTTCAATAATCTATAATTAAATTTCTAATGAAATTTGTGATTTTTACAAACGATTTGTATGGACAATTGCTTCAATAACACTTAGTTGAATAACTTTCCTTTTTGCTACCATAAATTGCTTTGATTGAACATATTTATGCCTTCAAGTGCAGAATTTTGGCTTTCAAGTGCACATTTTTATGCCTTCAAGTGCATATTTTTGTGCCTTAAAGTGCACAATTATGAGCAAGTGTTTATTACAGAGTATTTGTTTTCTTTCAATGATCTATAACAAAATTTCTAATGGAATTTGTGAGATTTACAAAATATTTGTATGGACGATTGCTTCACTAACACTTGAGTTGAATAACATCCCTTTTTGGTACCATAAATTGCTTCGATTGCACATCTTTGTACTTTTGAGTGTAGAATTTTGGCGTTCAAGTGTACATTTTTGTGTTTTAAGTACATGTTTTTGTACTTTCAAGCGTACAATTTTAGTTAATTCGAAGTGTAGTTGTATATGATGCCATTGTCAATTGCCTGCAAAGCCAAGACTGAAATATTTACCTTCTTCTGTTATCCCACATGTTACATTAGATAAATTAATTCAAGCAATTAGATGATTCATGCAATGCTTTTTTTATTTTTTACTCTCAAGGAGTTAACTTTGCACAAGGACTGCACAAAATTTATGGATAATATTACAAACAATTAAATATATTCAACACCCCTACAAACAAACAAAGAGAAACATTACAGGAACACAGTGATGTATGACCTTAGTATGAAGGAACCCAAAGTCATAGCCATCAGATCTTACCAGGCTTATGCTCATCTTCTCCAGGTACAAAAATATTGAGGCAAGATTGAAGAGGAGCTGAGAGTGTCTTGACTTTGGCAGTTGGTTTGGATGTTAATATTGTCCGGTAGTCTCCTGTTGCTTCAGGAGCTTCTAGAACATCAATCCCAAGTGCCAAACCCAATCCAGCAATAATCTTGGTAGGAGCAACCATGCATGGCCAGAGCCCATGTATCTTTTCAAATTGAGGAACCTAGACAAACAAACCACCTGAGAATAAAATGTTCAAACTCAGAAGCAAAATGATTCTTTTTTGGTGCTCTATTCTATGCTCAAAGAACTGTTTGATGGAAAATGAAATCAGTGTGAGCATTTTCTTTATGCACACATGCATGCAAGAGAAGAGAGAGAGAGAGAGAGGAATCTACCTCAATTCAAATACCACAACCTCTTAAAAGGACAACATTGGTAATGTTCTTTCCTTCAGCAGCCCACTTTGCATTTAGTGGATGGGCAACAAGAATGCATGAGATCTCCTTAGACAGTTCATTAACAACCACAGCTGTGTGCTTTGCCTCTTCTGTATCATCAAGAACCTGGGCCTGTAAAAGAAGGTGATTGTCCTTCAATGGGTCTGTTCCTGATATATTTCCACTTAATATTGGTCCCTTTACTACCACACCACATTTAAACTCTTAAGGCATGCATAAAGATCAATAGATACATCATCAAACTTGATTGTGACACACTAACACTTTCAATAAGTATATATTGTGTACAAGAAAGTGAATATGTGCAAATTTACATGAGCATATTATCTATCAAGAAATTACAACGCACCTCAGAGGTAATCATTACTCGTTGAGAATCCTTCAAGAAAAACTGCAATGAAGGGATGACCATCTGTCAAGAGTAGTGAAACTTTTAAGTATAAAATAAAGTTTGAAAACAGAAATTAGAGTAGTTAAAGCTCAATTCCAGTAATTTTGTTGCTTTAAGATCTCTTTCTACCATGGAAGTTTACCTGGGTGTCTAAATTGAAATCTCAATTACTGGCTTCCTGCAGCAACTATAAAAGAATTTGGAAATCTCAAGACATAATAACAAGTTAACAACTTCCCCAAGGTTCATTGATCAGTTTCCATTAAGTCCAGAAAATAACCAGAAGACATTGATATTTTCATCAATCCTTTCAAAGCTCCATAAATTGCCTGTGTCTTGGGATGCCTCTCATCATAGCAATAAAATTCAGCCACTTCATCATCAACCTCAATCAAGCTACACCCTGGAAGCTTTTTAAAACCGGTATCCCTCATGGCAACTTTCTGCTTTGCCACATCTTTCCATCTCTTAGCATCACCATAAATATTAGCAAGCATAACATAGTTTGCAGGGTTGTTTGGGTCGAGCTCTATTAGTTTCTGAAGTGCCAGTATGGCAACCTCAATATTCTTGTAAATCCTACATGCCCCTAATAATGCAGTCCAGATGACACTATCAGCTGGCATAGGCATCTTATGCACAAAATCAACAGCCTGGTCAAAATGGCCAGCTCGAGCCAAAAGATCAACCATGCAACCATAATGTTCAATTTGAGGAGCAAGCAAATACTCATTGGTCATAGATTGGAAATAATGAAATCCCTCTGAGACTAGACCCATGTGAGAGCAAGCACATAACACACCTATGAAAGTTATTCCATCTGGTCTTACACCAGCATTCCTCATCTGACTAAACAAATTCAAGGCATCAGCACCCTGACCATGCACTGCCACACCATTAATTATCGTGTTCCAAGATATCAAATCTTTTTTATCCATGCTCTTAAAAACATCAATTGCATTTCTGACCACCCCACACTTTGCGTACATATCAATTAAACCATTCCCAACATATACATTATCAATATAACCAATGCTCTCTGCATATGTGTGTACCCATTTACCCATATCAAGAGCTCCTAATCTAGCACAAGCAGACAACACATTCACAAGAGTGGCATCATTAGGTAGCACATCGGACTCAGTTAACATCCTCTTAAAGGCACCAAGAACTTCAAGAAAATGTCCATTATGAGCATATCCTCCAATCAAACCATTCCAAGAAAATATGTTTCTTTCCTGCATTGCCTCAAACACCCTCTCACACCCCTCGACATCCCCAGAATTCGCGTAGCCATTCAACAAAGTATTCCAAGACATCAAATCCTTATTGGGCATCACATTAAAAAGTTTCTGAGCCTCTACCATGTCCCTACATCCGATATATGCCACAACCATGCTATTCCACAAAACAATATCTCGCTCAGGTGCCAAGTCAAAAAACCTCCTTGCAGAAGCCAAATCACCATTCTCAACATAGCCATTAATCATAGAAGTCCAAGAAACCACATTTCTCAAAACCATCTCGCTAAACACTCTATGAGCAGACTCGATTTTCCTTGCTCTAGAATACAAATCAATCAAGGTAGTACCCACGAATGTATTAGACTTAAGCCCAATCTTGACCACGACACAATGCACTTCCTCGCCTTCCCTTAAAGCATATAACTTCACACAAGACTTCAAAATTATGGGAAATGTATAGCAGCTGGGCCTCTCATCCTTGTTCCTCATCCGACGAAAAAGCAGCAGCACCTCTCTGTGCTGGTCTTTTTGAAGGTAACCTTTGAACATAGCGTTCCAAAGCGAAGAACTTGGGTAGGGAATTTGATCGAACAGGTGGCGAGCGTGAAGAACTTCATTTAATTCGAAACATTTCAACAGAAAATGAGGGGTGGTGTACTCGTTTTGATTAAGACCGTGGATTGTGATCTGGGCTTGGATTTGTTTGAGGTTCCTTGTTGTCTTACATGATTGCAATAATGATATGAACTTTTCTTCGAGGAGTCTATGCGGAGGCTTGGAGACCAGGTTTAGAGCAACTTCACCTATTTTTGGAAGAGATGAATGTGCGCCATTTCCCCCAAACATTGTTCTGTCGGGTTTCGATTAAAAAACAAGGCGGACCGGTCAATATATTTGTAATTTGCATCAACTCCATACTAGTATACTACTATTTATTTATGAGAAATGAGAAATGAGAAATGAGAAATGAGAAATGCATTTTCACCCCTACATAAATTATAATTATACAAATTTACGCAATTATTTTTATGTGGTTAATTATTTTTTAAAAAAAATTTCAATCAGAACTTATCATAAATTGTCACATCAAAAACATAATTCAAATGTTATCATAATTGTTGGTTTTTGGGTTTTCGCGCCCAAGGAGGTCCAACACAACCTTTAGCTGGAGGATACACCTTTCAATAAAGCTTGCTAAAATAATATGGGCTCGATGATTTTGACGTGGAAACCGAAAGGAAAACCACGGGCCTTTTTGGGCGGTGCCAAGCCTAAAGACTTTCACTATTTTTGTAGGTATTTGTACATGTATTTGTATAGAGTGTATGATGTAAGAATGTGGTTGCCTCTCTTTCTTTCATGTATTGGAACTTCTCTTCTAGTAAAAATGGAGTCTTCTTGAGTGAGAGTGGAAGAGTGGCGTAGGAAGAGTGATGGGGTCTTCCATTGTGCTCAAGAATGGAATCTTCTTCATGTGGTCTTCTTGCTTGAATGAATGGAGAGTGATTGTGGGAGAGTGCCCCCATGTGTGTGGAGGAGTGGCGTGGGAAGGGTATTCTATGTTTTGTGATGTGGAGTACGTGATGCCTCCCCCCCATGATGAAGCCTTCCCCCCATGATGAAGCCTTCCCCTTTCTCTTATTCCTTCCCCCTTTTTATAGCTTTCCAGGAGCTTTAGAGACGTTAGGGGGTATTTAGTAGGGATTAAGGGTATTAAATTGGGGGTTAGGATGAGGTAGTTTGAATAGGTAATAAATTGGTAGTAATGGGTTGTAAGGTAGTCTTTATTTGGGGGTTATGGATGCTTAGTGGTAAGTAAATAGGTGTCTTTTAATAGGATAACGGCCACTTGGCCTATTGAGTGAATAGGGCAATAATTAGGAGTTTAATATCGGTTAACGGCTAGTTTAGGTCGACCTTCTACTCGTGCCGACTTCCGGGTCCAGCCGACTCCGGGTCGAGCCGACTCCTCGGTTTGACTCGGATCTCTTTTGGGCTTACTCCATTTTCCTCTTGGGCTTCTCTTATTCGTCTGGGCTTTATCTATTTTCTTCTTGGGCCCCGAGCCCACGGGGTTCACACCCCATCAACTAGTCCCTCACTTTTCTATGTCTCGCGCTTAGCAGGGCATGGAAAAGTATATTGTCTTGCCACAAAATTCCCTTTATTAGCCGCCTCGATTTTTGCCGACTCTTTATTCAAGATTCCAAACGACTCCATTTTCCTGACTTCTCTTCGTTGGCTATATGACCGACTGCTTCAGTGGATGTGACCCTCCGGCTTCGAGCTCCTTTTTTCTATAGCTGTCGAAGTGAATCTCGGCTGTAACTTTTTCTTTCTCTAATAAACTTCCGAGGGTTCGGACCCTCGATTCCTTCTTTATTCGCCGAGTCCCTCAGTCGAGGCGACTCTTCGGTTGTAGCTTTTCTTCCTTCTAAGAAATGGCTAGGGTCGGAACCCTGGTTTCTTTTCTCTTTTTCTCTAAGAAACGTCTAAGGGTCGGAACCCTTGTTTCTTTTCTCTTTTTCTCTAAGAGGTCTAAGGGTCGGAACCCTTGTTTCTTTTCTCTTTTTCTCTAAGAAACGTCTAAGGGTCGGAACCCTTGTTTCTTTTCTCTTTTTCTCGCCGAGTCCCTCAGTCGAGGCGACTCCTGTAGGCTTTTCCTCAGAAACGTCTAAGGGTCAGTGCCCTTGTTTCCTATCTTTTCTTGCCGAGTCCCTCGGTCGAGGCGACCCATTAGGCTTTTTCTATCTCAGAAACAGTTTAGGGTCAGTGCCCCGTCGTTTCTCTCAATACTCGCCGAGTCCCTCAGTCGAGGCGACCCCTGTAGGCTTTTTCTCGGAAACGTCTAAGGGTCAGTGCCCTTGTTTCCTATCTTTTCTTGCCGAGTCCCTCGGTCGAGGTGACCCATTAGACTTTTTCTATCTCAGAAACAGTTTAGGGTCAGTGCCCCGTCGTTTCTCTCTATACTCGCTGAGTCCCTCAGTCGAGGCGACTCCTGTAGGCTTTTTCTCGGAAACGACTAAGGGTCTGGGCCCTTGTTTCCTATCTCTTCTCGCCGAGTCCCTCAGTCGAGGCGACCCATTAGGCTTTTTCTATCTCAGAAACAGTTTAGGGTCAGTGCCCCGTCGTTTCTCTCTATACTCGCCGAGTCCCTCAGTCGAGGCGACTCCTGTAGGCTTTTTCTCGGAAACGACTAAGGGTCTGGGCCCTTGTTTCCTATCTCTTCTCGTCGAGTCCCTCAGTCGAGGCGACCCCTTAGGCTTTTTCTTTCTTAGAAACGGTTTAGGGTCAGTGCCCCGTTGTTTCTTTATATACTCGCCGAGTCTCTCAGTCGAGGCGACTCCTTTTGGCTTTTTCTCGGAAACGACTAAGGGTCTGGGCCCTTGTTTCCTATCTTTTCTCGCCGAGTCCCTCAGTCGAGGCGACCCCTTAGGCTTTTTCTTTCTTAGAAACGGTTTAGGGTCAGTGCCCCGTTGTTTCTTTATATACTCGCCGAGTCTCTCAGTCGAGGCGACTCCTTTTGGCTTTTTCTCGGAAACGACTAAGGGTCTGGGCCCTTGTTTCCTATCTTTTCTCGCCGAGTCCCTCAGTCGAGGCGACCCCTTAGGCTTTTTCTTTCTTAGAAACGGTTTAAGGTCAGTGCCCCGTTGTTTCTTTATATACTCGCCGAGTCTCTCAGTCGAGGCGACTCCTTTTGGCTTTTTTCTAAGGGTCATAGCCCTTGTTTCTTTTCTTTTTCTCTCGCCGAGTCCCTGCTCGAGGCAAGCCCTGACTATGATTCTTCTTCTCTGAGTAGACTTCTTGGACTCTTGGTCCTTTTACTAACTCGAGTGACTCTCGGTTGTAGCTTTACTTCTTCTTCCTTTCATATAGCCCTTTGTAGATGAGCAATTCTCCGAGCAATATTTTGGAATGCATATGCATTTTCTGCCACTAAATTTCCATGTCGAGTCGTGCCCTCGTATTGCATGCCACATATGTAATCCTTCGATTTTTATTATTTTCACCGGCTTTGGAGAGATCGTTGGTACTTCTTGTGTGTTTGTAATTTTCCCCCTTCTTCATCTTTTATCCGTACAACTAGATGGATCAACCACCTGAGGTTCGGGCGCTCAGTGGTTGACCTTGAATCTAGGCGGGTGGACAATCCAATGTCCGACACGGAGTGGTCAGCCCAGCGCGAATGGGCGGACCTACTCGGTCAGACTCTAGGAGTCGGCCTTGAAGCTGATTGGGCGGACAATCCGATGTCCGACACGGAGTGGTCGGCCCAGCGCGAATGGGCGGACCTACTCGGTCAGACTCTAGGAGTCGGCCTTGAAGCTGATTGGGCGGACAATCCGATGTCCGACACGGAGTGATCGGCCCAGCGCGAATGGGCGGACCTACTCGGTCAGACTCTTGGAGTCGGCCTTGGAGTTGATTGGGCGGACAATCCAATGTCTGACACGGAGTGATTGGCCCAGCGCGAATGGGCGGACCTACTCGGTCAGACTCTTGGAGTCGGCCTTGGAGTTGATTGGGCGGACAATCCAATGTCCGACACGGAGTGATCGGCCCAGCGCGAATGGGCGGACCTACTCGGTCAGACTCTTGGAGTCGGCCTTGGAGCTGATTGGGCGGACAATCCAATGTCCGACACGGAGTGGTCGGCCCAGCGCGAATGGGCGGACCTACTCGGTCAGACTCTTGGAGTCGGCCTTGGAGTTGATTGGGCGGACAATCCAATGTCTGACACGGAGTGATCGGCCCAGCGCGAATGGGCGGACCTACTCGGTCAGACTCTTGGAGTCGGCCTTGGAGTTGATTGGGCGGACAATCCAATGTCCGACACGGAGTGATCGGCCCAGCGTGAATGGGCGGACCTACTCGGTCAGACTCTTGGAGTCGGCCTTGGAGCTGATTGGGCGGACAATCCAATGTTCGACACGGAGCGGTCGGCCCAGCGCGAATGGGCGGACCTACTCGGTCAGACTCTTGGAGTCGGCCTTGGAAGCGCTCTAGTATGTCCCTCCAAGCTGCAAGAATTCAAAGCCATGTTTTTATGAGAAAAAAAGATTAATGTTAGGGCAAGAAAAGTCGAGCCCTGGCCTCCTTATTTTCTTCCATGGCTTTTACCAATCCTACGCAATTGAATTTTTGAATCTTTATAGCATTGAATTTAACGTATGTCAAGATTGCGCGTCTAAGATAGCCACGAGCAAGCTACGAAATGTGTCAACTCGTTCATCAAATAACTCCGGTCTTTGAAATCATCATCCTCAGTGTCAATCAGTGTTGAAGGAGTCAGAATCATCACATCATCGTATTGGTCCTTTTGTTGGTCACTTTCTTGCCGGCATTTTTAGGATTGCTACCGTTTAGAGCTCATTGTACAGATGATCGTTGTCTTGGCATTGCCTCCAAATGTAACATCGGCGAGAACATCTTCCATAATCCCTTGCCATTCATGCCCCATATCCTCCATATTTGAGCATCTAAATCTTCCTTTGTAGCCCAAGTTGTTGGTTTCTTCTGCTCATCGCCAGTTCCCGAACATAATTGTGGTAAGACTCGGGGCCTAACATATTTAAAAACAACCGGCGACTGAGATCTCTGCATGGTAGACGGTGTCTTGGTGCCCAATTTACCGCTATTTGATTGACTTTGAAAAAGCGCTCGATGGATCGATCCTATTTTTCAAAATGTCATTGGCACGACCAACGAATTCATTATCCTCCGAGTGCGCATGAGGAGCAATTTTCTGATGTAAAAATGCTCGACTCCGATCCGGCGACCGACTTCATGATGGCCGATTTGACAACTTCGTTGGGTATTGCTGCTTGCTTACTATATAGACATATACTT